CATTAGTATCATAACTATTATAAATATTATTCTCTGTATAGTTATATTGCTTATTTTCTAGTATCATTTTCTAATAATAGTTTCTAATATTTTTTACTAATACTTTTATTCTCTATTCGCTTTAATATATTTTTGAATAATATATTCTCCGTCATGACCTACTATAGTCTATATATTCGTTAGATAATTGTCTAAAATATGGTGTATTATAAAAGTATCATAAAACTACTTGTATACAGTAATACTATTATACATTTAGGGTGTCCAATTTTAATCGATAAATGCAGATCACTCATAAACCACTCACTAAATGACAAAGTGATTCATATAAGAAGCGAATAATTTCAAAATGGATATAAGATGATATAATTATTTTTTTATTGCACTGCTTGATACAGCTTAATGTAGTTTACAAAAGATATTGAACTATTGGTATGAAAAATCATTAATTTAGCAAACATTCATCATTTGAACCTACTCATTGTTATATATTGCTATATATTGTTATAATTTATTCTCTACTAGTATATTCACTTGATCATAACATAGAACACACTCTCTTCAATAATATAAAGTATTATAAATCACATAAATAATGGAATCTAATAAAATGAATAAATAAATAATAGAAAATCGTAGAAGAATATATAACATGGTACTTATGTCTGAATATTCTTGTGACCAACTGTATACATGTATTTATAAGAATTATTTCCCATCTTTGTCACAACAATATTCAATTCCATGCTTGAACCATTATTTCCTCGCTGAGTGAGCTCTTCGTAATAGTCATCAATTCGTAGAAATCCTCCATTACAATAGCAAGCTACAATTAGTAGTAAGCTTTCCCCGTGCCCCATAAAGGGTTGAAATTGCTCGACGCAGAGTTTGACAGGCTTCTCAGTTCATCCGATCTCATTCGATTCCTAATTTCTTCTGCAAATAGTCAATGTTGCCTTCGTGCAAACGAAGAAGCCGTACGACTTCCTGTTGTACCAACTAAACGTGCCACGACCTCGATATGGATCGAACCAGCAATTCCTTATCTGCGATCCGATTTTTCGCATAAAAACCCGGTCTTCCGGCGTTGAACTTCTGCATGCCCTGATAATTTCGAGGGAGTCGGAAATGCAAAGACGTTCCAGAACGGTTATTGGCTCTGGGTCACTTTGTGTGTGATACGCATGGGTCAACAGAGGTATATGAGAATTTTGAAATTGGATTGCCCTCGTATTCTTTTAGAATTTGGGTGAGTATAATAGCAAGATATAGTGGGTTTGAATAACAGAGAAAATTTGAAATATTAAATAATTTTTGGTTGAGGAGATAGAATTAGGTGAACATTAATTGGGAAAATTAGGAATTTTTATTTTGATTTTAGAAAAAAGGATATTCTTTGAACTTATTATTAATATATATTAGTATTATTAAAAGGAATTTATGTATGCTGGGAATGAATCCTGAAAATCTGCGAGAACTGTGTAGTATATCGTGTCTTGATGTTTCGATTAACTCAATGTTATTAATATCGAGAAATAATTATACTGTATCATTAATATTGAGAAATAACTAACCAACTGTTTATTAAAATATGAAATAAAACTATATCGATATATCTCTGTTCTTATGTTAAAAATATATATAATTATTTTATTATTAATAATAATAACATTTTTGAAAGTAATAACAACCAGAATAAATACAAAATTTTAATATTATTTATAAATGATTGTTTCGTTAAAAAATATGTATAATTTAAAGAAAATGAAAAGATAGGAGTTCACAACGATGTAATCGAGAAAGTGAAACATGAATGGGAGTATCGTTGATTCATCCTTCGAGTAAATAGAATCTATATGTTGAATGGAAAATGGAAATTTTTCATCGCTCTATACAATGTCGTGCTTGATAACTATAAAAGTAAAACGTACGATTATTTACCACTAAGCCCTCAAATCTCATGTTTCGTAAGGCAACACCGAAAGAAGAGACGCGTATCTGCATATCGTGTATCATTGTTCGAGGTTATCTAGAATGCTGATCTACTTGTACGCGCGTTTACAGTAATTATTTAAACGCCATTCAGGGTACTTGCTTCTCAAACTCACGATCGCTGGTTTCTCGAGCATCGTAATGAATAGCATCAGCAACATCGTCCTTCATTTGATCGTATCGTTATTTGATACGAATAATCTGTGTATACTGCGTGTTTACAGATTTAAAGCATATTTAGTTGAAAGGAATTTTTTACGTTTTTTAGATTTTTGTTTCATTAATTATTGAAATTTATCAATTTTATTAAATTTCAATAACGTTGAAAGAATTTATTAATTTCATCAATTTTAATAAACTTTTATATTTCATTTTTTAATTTCATCAATAATTAAATTGTGATATTATATAATGCTTAAAATTTTTATTTATCTTTTGAATGTATTATGATTATTAAATATTGCAGCGCAATGTATAGAAATAATACGCGAGTAATTAAATTACTAGTAAGTAATATATGGCAATAATAGCATTGAATAAAAATACTACAAAATTTAATAGAGTAACTACGTTTTAATTAAAATATGAAACTAAAAGGTCTAATATTTCCTATTATAATATATTTGTAATTTTTCTTCTTTTCAATTTAACATTTCACCATTCAATTCATGAGACAAGAAAATTCTGACATTTATGAGAATTTATGTGAATGCAGAGCATAATGTGTTATACGTGAAACAATTTTTTTTATCAACGAGAAATTTCCTCGATGGCTAAAATTAATCACCAGAGTTTCAGTGATCGAATTCCAAGTGTCGATTTCGCATTTTTTAAATATGACAGCGCATGATACTTTTGCACAAAAGAATTTTCATTAAAAACCGCGTAATTTTCAGTGCTCTATTTATATGTTATAAAAATTTCTAACATTTTTAATTAAAACTATATTCAAGATACGAAAAAATGGTAGAAATTTGATGGTTAATAAGACACCTGCAAAAAGTTTTGCCGTTCAAAAAGAAATTGCTCCGCGTATAACTCATTATGTCGTAGATACACACAAACTTTCCTTAAAATTAGAATTTTCTGATCAGCTGAATTTTCTCATAATTTAGTATGCCAGTTCGTTTTTTACTGTATATAGAAAAAATAATTATAATGTTTATTATAAGAAAAATCACGTAACGGATTAACTAAAATGATAAATTTTTGAAATACAGAATTTTCATCCGAAAATTAGAATTAATCATTTTAGGCCACAGTAAACTTAGACTTTAACTTAAACTTAAACTTAAAATAACAAATAATAATAATATCTACAATTGCGTGTCGTTTTAATTATTATTGTAACGATAGTAATTTAAAACAAATTTCGATGATATAAATCAGCAATGACCATTACACCCGACTTTCATTTTCAAATAAACGAAGATATTACCAGCAAATGAAAGTGTGAACGATTTTGAAATATAAATTCTACCGCGACGTTCGGAACACCATTAATCACTAAAATGTAATATACGTAAAGGGGTATTGATTATCGAACACTGTCACGGACAATGGGATGATGGTCATAATTTATGCGTTAATTCCATTTGTCATTATGATACATGCATAGCCGCACACGAGGCGGGTATTTCATTAGCGACAGCGTATGTTTCAGTCTGATATTAATCAACGAAGAACGATATCATTGGACTAATGCTCCATTTGGCTGGTATCGTGCATGACAGCCGCAGAAACATTCGATTTCGGTGATATTTCGTCGAGCTTGTTAACACGTTCGAGCAATTAAGTCAGATCATTGTCACTTCTCGCTGAAACTTTCTGTGTATCGAGTTTTATCAATTATATGACATTTGAGTTTGAAGAGTAGAGGAATTCACAAAATTCGGTGATAATCGCGTTTATTATTATAAAGTACATTATTATTAGTGGATGGTAAAATTCATAATGGATAGACACTGTTTGAAAGCGCATTAATTACGGATTGGCAGCTAATTTGGGAATTTTCGAAATTCGATATTAAATTTGCGAGAATATTTTGATTTAAGGACTGAAACTTTTCTTGAATTTTTACACGAGTCTTTACAGTCTATAATTAAAAATATGGAAAATTATTTTCACTGCTACTGATATTTACATTATTTTTGAATGTACTCTGTTTTTCACACTCGTCGATTTATCAATTTTTTATTCATAAATTTTTATCTTAAATAAAATTTCGATAAGAATTTCAAAAATTCTGAATCTATTTCCAGTAATATCGAATCACTGTTAATTACTATTTCTACTGTTAACTTAGTATAATGACAGTAAATTATAATAATAACGAAATTAATAATAATAACTTAAAGAATACATACAAAAATTGCTCTTATATTAACAATAATTTTACATTGGTTTTGAACAATTTTCAATCAAATTTTCTCTTTGATTAAAAAACTGGAAAAGACACGGTGTTAAAAAATTCTTATAATCGCTTCCACCATATTATCTTAATAATAATAAATTAATAATTCTTCAAACTGCTGGATCTCAATTTCTCGAATATTTCTATTCCACGTTATCCCATAGAATCTTAATAATTTAAATTAACTTTTCACCCAATTACAACTCACCTTAAACTTTCGCTTCAAGAGTTAAAATTAATTTTAAACATAAATTCATTTAACAACACATGTAACTTTCCATATTTCACTCTGAAATAACATTAGTAAATAGAAGAAACTAACTCGAAATAAAAATGAAACTAAAAATAAAAATGAAAATGAAAATAAAACCTCGAAAAAATAAATATCGCCATAATCGCTGCAGATTTTTAGCTTGGACTGTTCCTACGTGTAGAATGGTCCGTTGCGTAGAGTTTGTACAATGTAAGGCATAAGTAAACGATTAAGAAGAACGCTAAGAGGGAGAGCACCACGCAGTCTCGCTGGTAGATTGAAAGGAATCGAACGATATCGAGGAAGAATGTAAAGTGTAATAACGAACGTTCTCTGTCGTAGAATCGCCGAGGCGTTATGTGGAGGGTGAGGTGACGATTCACTATCGTTCACCAGTGCGTACAGAGGCAAAAGAACCATTGAGCGAGGAAGAGCTCGCTCGTCGAAGCGCGGAGAATATGCGACGCGTTTATCAAGAAGAACGTCGTCGCAAATATCTCCAGGAACTGCACGACATCGACTCACGGCGACACACTGACAATTTCATGTAAGTTTCATCTTTTTATTTCATTTCATTTCATTTTATTTCGTTTAATTTAATTCACTTGTGTGCTGATTTGTGAGTAGTTTGAATGGTGTATGGATAAGTTTGAATAGTTGACGCAGAGAATTTTGAAAATTCTCGATTTGTCATTTGTGGGAGTAGAATAGATACAGGTTTACAATTTTATTTCATTTTACTTCGTTCTGTTTTCTTCTATTTTATTTTAGTTTTTGGATTGTTTACTAATTTGTGAGTAGCTTGAATGGGGTTTGGATCAGATTGGATAGTTGACAGAGTGAGTCTTAAAAAGTCGATGCTTTTGTTTGCAAATTGTTATTTGTAAGAGTAGGAAAGATGTAGGTTTAAAATTTTATTTATTTTTATTAATATGTTAATAATTTAAGTTGAAATTAGTTGGCAGAGAATTTTGATTTGTTGTGGCTTTCATTTACGAAGAGCTGTTGTTCGTAAGAAAAACTATAGATTTGAAATATTTATTTGGTTTTTGTATGTTTCGAATTTTTAATATTAATTATTAAATATTGCACAATTATTGATAAAATTTGTTTGCAAATTTTTAAGTTGTATTAGTGTAGTGATACAGTTTTTAATGAGCATAATGTCCTTAATATTTGTGGGAATATGAAGAATGTGGATTTTAAATATCAATTAATCGAATGATATCGCAAACTTCCAATTTAAAAAATTTATTTAATATTAAACATTTATGTTAAATTGGTCTACAATTGACAATCCTTTTTTACCAATATAATGCTATCAGTGCTTATTAAAACTGAACAGATTTAGACTTGAAATGTTCCCTTTGTGATTAGAAATTAAGTATACATAATTAGATTAGTGTACATACGTTTATAGAAGTTTATTGTAAATATAATATCAAGATTCATATCGATTTTTATTCATAATAATTGTTTAGAATCTTTACTATAAGGTAGAAAGAATTCATATCAGTTTTATTTCTTAACTTTCTCATCTTTGCTTTTCAATTGTTAAATTCTATATTTTTAAATATATTACGTAATATCTGAATAATCGTATAGATAAATATTTATGTAAATTATTTATATATTAAATTATTTTTCATCTTATTCGCTTAATAAATACACTATTACAGACAGATAAGTAAAAGTCTTTGTAAGTATAATAATATACTAGGTAATTTCAAGAGTTCGCAGTCATTTTCACCAAATTACACTCAAATTACATCTATCGTTACACTTGGAATTTATGTCTCGTCTATTTTATATCTCTTTTATTTTATAAATCGTCAGCTATACGAAAAGGAACGACGAAACGAACCAAATCATTTCATTTTTCTGTATTCCACTTCTTTCGTATGACTCACCTACGCCTTTATTACAACGCCCGCGTAAAATAACTTAGAGTACTCGGTGCATTACGTAATGACTTAAGTAACGGGAAGCACGATAGACTTACACCTCATCTGACGATGCGTGATTAACATGCCGTTGCCTTTTATCATTCCATAGGCTATGTCCGCGTCAATGAACGCTCGTTGAAAAATTCGATTGATTCGGAGTACTAAATTTAAATATCGTACACAACACCTGTTTGTAAAATAATCAAAATCACTGAATTATTTCTAAGATATGTCAATTTTATTATACAATTGTCGTTATTACATAATTGTCAGAGTTACGGTGTTAGTAATTATTTTATTTTTATTGTTTATTAATTACAGTTTGAATAATTACATATCGAGCGAATAATCAGGTGATGTTTAATAAATATTTCACCATTGCACTTCGAGCATTTTGAAAAGTCGGAAAATTAAGAATAAAATATTAGGTTCGGCTACTTTGTATTTACTCGGCAATTTATATGCACTTGGTTTCACGTGAGAACTTGGAATTAACAGAAATTCGCATCCCGTTAAATTATAAATAAAAATTACCCATACGCCTTTTAATAATGTTAAATCGCTTAGAGGTAAAGGAATTTAGATCCGATTTAATTCGAAAAAGGGATCATTAAGCATTGTTTAATTAACTACATAGACAGACCCCCTTTGAAGAAGCTAGCTTTAATTTCCAGCTAGATATTTTTTTCAGATGAAATACCGAATGAATATTTAAACGAAAGTACAATGGGAATAAAATTAGCAGAGTTGATAAGTTCATCGTGATTTATGATAATTATTTGTCGTTCATTATCGTCATTTCCCGTAGAATTTAGTAGCAGAAAGTTAATTATATAATTATTATAAGATAGAGTTAATAAAATTCCTTGAAGGCTTCCATGAAGCTTTGAAGTTTTATTATGATATTTGCAAGTTTTTCATTACTTTGCTTCATTATTTTAAACTTCTTGCTTTACTAAAAACTTTTCATAGCTTCAGTTACAAAATTTATTTATTACAAAATTTACTTACATTAAAAATAGCTATTTTATTTTCAAATTGTGTCTATTGAAATTAACGAAGTTGTGGTATATTTATTTAAGCATATTTTGCAATTGAAATTTTATTATTTTGTAAATTTTTGGTCGTGTATGCTTACTTCTATATATACTTTTTAGCATAAGATTACGATTAATTGATTCGAAGAATCATCCCACAAAACAATCTTCTTTGTTAGAGATTACTTGTTTTGCTGAACGTTTGATATAATTGCACTTTGCACAGATGTATAGTCATCTCCTATAAATATTGTGTAAGAATTATGCATTGTTCTGAACGAGGATAAGAGAATAACATCGTAATGCTATACAGTAAACACATATGCAGATTGTATTGATGAAGGAAACTTACTTCAAATGTACTTTATACGATTTTAATATTTAATTGTTTATTGTACAAAAAAAAAAAGACACGAAGTAAAACAGAATTATACTTTATTTAATTTATTTGACTTTGTTTCCGATATTTATCAAAATTTTAAAAATATCACAACTAAGAATTACAATTAACTCGTAAATTACTATGAAAATTTTCTAAACGCTTTTATAAGATATATAAGAAATAATAAAATGAAAAAAGAAGTATTTTCACATAGGAAGACAAGCGAATAATGTGGAAGAATATCTTTTTTACGCTATTCTTGAATGAAACTCGGCTTCCTCGATTACCCCACGTTATTTTTATGCATGGGATCTCATTACAGAATTTAAAATCGCTCCGGCGAGAAATAATTAAAATAAACGAGAATGGAAATAAATTAGATTGCGATTTACTAATCTAACATAAAACAACTTTCCGCGGTAATTTATGACATAATCTAATATGCTCATTAGTGAACTCGTTATGTTATTACGAAATCAGAAAATTAGATACCAATGTGTACGTGAAACCGTGTACTCGTACCTTTAGAATTATCAACAGATTTTGTATGCTAAAATGTCAAAATACAAGTATGCAAATATGCATGGAGTACTTCTCATTACAGTTAAACATATGTCTATAAATATACGTATAGATTTTCCACAACTGTTATACAATTTTATTGAAATGAAATAAAAAGATAATAAATAAAATATAAGTAACAAAAGTTAGTATAATACTTTACTATAATAATACATGTGAAATATATTTGATTTTATTGATTAATATGGAATGTATTTTATTTATATTTTATTTATTATCTTATTTATATCGTTTATTTAAAATAAATTAATATTATTTTCAGATACTTCACACTATTTATATCTTATTTACTATCTTTTAGAGGAGACTATTATAAAATGTAATACTATTCCATATTCTTTTAATTCTCTTATTCCAAAAAATTGACTCTTTCCATCTTACATCGCGATTTTTTAAACCAAATTAATAAAACTAAAATATTAGAAAAAGGCAAGAATGAAATTCCATATTCCATGAATTTTGCCACATTTTTTGCCCATGTCAGATTTCAGTTCATCTCATCTTCCTCGTTTTACATTCTACGTTTCGTTAAACAATGATTTCAGACCATCGCAGAAATCACCGATCCCGCTGAACCGTTATGACGATTTCGTTGATGATCTGAGCCACAGAAGCAGATCCCAGGAACAAACACCGGAACCCAGGCTCGTGGCAAGGGCACTTTATAACTTTATCGGGCAATCCTCGCGGGAATTGAATTTCCGTCGCGGTGACATAATATTCGTGCGTCGCCAGGTAGACAAGAACTGGTACGAGGGTGAACATAATGCTATGATCGGCCTGTTCCCATCAAATTACGTCGAGGTAATTCCGCCTGGAAAGCGTTAACGTTATTACTTTCTTCCATGATGTGTATACAATCGCGATTTATTATGCATCAACAAGCAAAAGACATGCTCAAATCTTCCCGCGAGAGTGCTTTCTTAATCGAATTCCTCTGTGTGCTCTCGACCGTCGATCTCTTTACGATAAAATCCTGATTTATATATCGAATTTTATAAATTAATAGTGGTTGGAAAAGATCCGAGAGTTAAGGTAAATTTTTAATTCGCTTCAATTGCGAATATTTATAATAATATGATAATTACATGAAAGTCATCTTTTCAGTGTACCCAGAGAATACATTTGGGTTGCTTTAATTATCAGTGATTACAGAATTATCATTATAATAAACACACTGACGTTCAAATTTAATAATTAATTATGCAAAGCTACAAACTTAATCTAACGTTTCATTAAATTTCTCTGAAGTTCTTACAAATTTTTCTGCGATTTAAAATAGGCTGTTTTGCAAGAAATAATTTTATTTTGTTGTAATATAAAAGGATGCAACAGCAAACAAAGAATCAAATTATTTTATTCAGATTTTCTACTTACAATTACACCACTTTCATAATTACCAGCACAGATATGAAAGATGCAATATTGATACGAGAGGAAATTATATTATATTTATATTATTCACATTATGCCATATTTTTTAATACTATAATTGTGACTTAATTTCCTCTTTCCTTTATAATCTTTGGAATTTATATTGCTATTATACAACAGCTATATATTAATTTTTCTCGTATAATCGTCGCAACTTATTTCTCTTTATCGAATTACTGCATATAAAATGACTGTCTACGGTATTTTTAACCTATAAGTATATACGGTAATATTATTTTAAAAAGTCGAGGGTGTCAAAAAATAACATCGTCCTTTGTTTCATAGATTTTACCTTATGACGGTATGCGAACTACACCAAAGAAACCTTACGAGGGCCAAGCCCGAGCTAAATTCAACTTTGTCGCTCAAACGAATCTCGAGTTGTCTTTGGCCAAAGGTAAATTATATATTAAGTAGAAAATATTAAGTCAACAAACCACTTTCATGAAGGGAATGCAATCAAATATTATTATTTCAGGAGAGCTTGTTGTATTAACAAGAAGAGTCGACGAGAACTGGTATGAGGGGCGTATCGCAAACAGAAAGGGAATTTTCCCCATATCTTACGTCGAAGTCATCACAGAACCTGGTCTTAGATCAGGTACAGTACACTTTTCAAATTTAAACCGCAATTTAAATGTGGATTAAATATATCTATGGAATATCAAGATGATTATTGACATTTCAAAACTATTCTTTACTTCGTTGATTTTATTTTAATGTATATTTTATTCGGAGTTTCAATGTTAGATAAATATTGTAAATAATTAATTGCAGAGACGCCAATACAAAACAAACCAGTCGCATCTCCAGCCGCGCACAGCCTCTTGGCGAACGGATCAGCTGGAGGGAAAATGAGTATGGGGCCCCATCACTATATGCCGTCTATACCAATTAATATCAACACAACCCAGCCACACTACAATTCACTGGTCAGTGTTACAGAAACATTTGTATTTTAAGCATATAGTCACGTGTAATTTTAATTCCACAATTTCGATTTAAAATACTCTCACTTTGTCGTTTTCTACCCAATGGAATTTTTTTTTCGTTTCATGCTCAACGGAATTGTCGATAATACTGTTTTATGAACTTTATGCACAAATCACGGGCAGAAAAGTTACGAGAATTTCCATTGAAATACCCTCGAGGGATAGAGAAAAGTATACTCTTTGAAATGCACTTTGTTACAAGTCGATACGTTAATTGGTTTCCGAGATATCACGATTTATACCCTAGCGTGTAAAGTCATAATTCCGAATGGTGACCAAAGTACGACAAATGTCGTGACCTACTTTTTTTTCTCGGAAATACGTACGTTGCGAGTAGTACTGGAAAAAAATGTGTTGACTCAGCAGCTGTCACTGACCAGCGCGCAGGTGTCGCGTTTGGGATAGGTCAGTTGTGATGTGCGAGCGAAAGGTCCGAGCGTTCGAGTGAGAGACCGAACGTTCGAGTGAGAGGTACCGATCGTTCGAGTGAGAGGTTCGAGTGTGCGAGCGAAGGGCTCGACGTGCGTGCGAAAGAGATAGAAAAATAACACGGGAAAAATTACATTTCGCGTCGTCACATTGATTTCTCGCAAGTGAAGTATGAATACATCGCTTTATATTTCTAGTAACAGGATTCTAGTATGTACTAGTGTGTATTACCTCGTTAGAAATATTCATCTGTAGAATCGTATAACGTGTCGCTAATGGGAAATTGGACATTGTAAATGACGGTATTCTAATAATGAAAAATTTCAAAGTAACGCTGCGAAAATTACGTTTCACTGCAAGATTTGATGCAGACACGTGGCGTGTTGTCGCGTTGCGTTTTTGCACAGGTGACGTATGAATATATTGGTTTATGTTTCTCATGGTGGTATCGTATACTAGTTTGCGTTACATTGTTGAAAATACACATTTGCGAAATTGTATAACGTCACTAATGGGAAAATTTTATTGCCTTCCGCAAGTAAATTTTCTTTATTTCGATTTTAACCCAATTTACAATTGTTACCTCGATTCAAATTATCTTTTTGTGTTTTGCATTTTTCAGCCACGTATGGGAGGAAGCAAATTACATGTTTCGCAACTGAACGAAGCACTGCACATCGACACGCACCCTGAACCCATACCGTAAGTTTCTTTAGATATTTTAAATAAATTTAAATCTAAGTGCCTTAATTAAAATCTTTTATTTACTTTGATTCATAAAAAACGAAAAAAAAAAGAAAAAGAAAATAGAAATATAGGAATTGAATTCGTTTGTAAATTCATAAATATTTATTATTGACATCGAGCATTGTTATAATAAAGAGTATCTCGATTTATAAAAGCTTTATGTATCGTCAATTTTAAATTTAAAAATATATTTTAAATTTTTATAGTACTTTGAACAACTAAAACGCGAATATAAATTCAACATTGATGTTAACCACATTATAGATGGATTTTCCGATTTTTTTTTTCACATTTGACAATAGAATTACAAATTGCATCCGTCTTTTGTACCGTCGTAGCCTAAATTCCTCGAGCGTATCCTATTGTCTAGTTTAGTATACAATATCTTTTAATTTGGAAACATGTGTTATCGAATTGTCGGTTATCTTCTGTACAACCATTCTATTTTAAGCTATTTTTATTATAAAAAATACTTCGAACGACTATATTTAATTATCTTCGATGAAAATATTTCAATATATTTAGGCTTATAGAAAAATATTACTTTTCTAACGAAAATTTTCTATTTCTTATTTTTCGTTTCATGCAAGTATTTTATATTTATCTGACTATATAACATATTTATCTGTTAACGTTCTTACTTTTTATGTAATACTTCATTTTAACCTAAAGTCGTGTCTTTTTAGAAAAACTCACATTTTTCGAAAACTGCGGTTGATAGAGCAACCCCATTACTGATTCGTATTCAAGAAAGTAGACTCTTCGTGAATTATCTAATGAATATTACAGATTGGAGAAAAGATTAAAATTTGTCGGACACTGTAATTATCACCACCATTCCACCAATTTCTAAAGCTCCAATCCCACAGCATCTTCGCGTCAAACAATCTTTGATCGATCACAGGCAACTGATAAAAGCCCTTCGTACATCTTTCAGGTATCGAGCTCTCTACAATTACCGGCCACAGAACGAAGATGAGCTCGAGCTGAAGGAAGGCGACACGGTATACGTGATGGAAAAATGCGATGACGGATGGTACGTTGGTTCCAGTCAGAGGACCGGCTATTTCGGCACTTTCCCTGGCAATTACGTGGAACGATTGTGAGAAACAACGAGCTGCATCGAACCGCAGGTTTTGTGTTACCAAAGCACTAAAAAATCCAACCAATAACTTAGTTAATATATAACACAACGACGATAAGGATCGACCAGACACACGTCGCCATAGTCTTCCTTTATTCGCGAATTTCGATCTTAACGATAAAACAAACCAACATAGCGCGGATACACACGCAAACGTATACCTATACGATATAAAATCGCAACAAACACGCATGACAGAATCGCGAAAACGAACCTTATCGTCCAACTCACCAAACAAAGTAAAAAAATAACGAAAAAAAAAAAAAAAA